TTTATCTGTTGATCCATTTGATTCAAGTTTGGAAATAAATGTGGGCTAAATCTACTTATTATGATTTAAACTATAATTCCATAGTTTTCATTTTTTAAACCGCTGTTACGTTTCTTTATTGTTGTCTTAATGGAAAAGGATTTTTTGCTCCAAGTGAAGATATTTTATGTTGCTTTCTTCTCTTAACCAGTACAAAAAAGGCCTATAATATTCTTCATTTATGGTTTGACCTTTTTGCAACTAATTATTGTAGATGATTTTGCATGCAACCCCTAACAATTCGGCCATCCCAAGGACTGATTCATGACAGCACATTTGGGGCAAGTTTTCATGGTCCCCATCTTGTGAGGTGCCCCCATCCAAGGTTGATAGTTTAGCTAAATTAAATAATGAATTTATGTAAAAAAATAAAGCTGCAGGTAAGTTAGAATTTGCTGCTGTCTAAAAGGTTATATTTTGATATTATGATTAAAAACTATACATGTTAACTGAAACTTGTCGACTCTCATAGAAGACCTCCAAGTGGTTTTGTGACCAGGATCCTAACATCTGTAAATTAGGCCCTAGGCCATGTACATAATCATATGTTTCATCTGTCATATATTAATGCAGAAACTCGTCAAAATTTCGCCAAAATAGGTTCCAAATCAAATAATTGCATTCAGTCACCTCTTAGAGCAATAAAGCGACTTTCTTAATCCTTGCAAGATTTTTTTCTTCAAAATAATTATGAAAGAGCCTGATGGATTTGACTGGAATTTTAACAGCAGTCTGAAACAGAATGACTTACGGAAAACAAACCTTTTCCGATGCTGCAAAGCTCACGTCTCGAATTTTCTAAAGGACTTATTAGACGACCCTCCTGTAAATACTAAAAAATGTCTTTTTTTAACCATGGGTGATCAAGACTACTTTTTAAGCAAAAAAGGAACTAAGAGCTACTACTTTTTTTATAAAGTAGTGATTTTTTGAATATTTAAGCTTTTTCAGGGGTTTTATCTTCTTTAGATCAAAGACTGGGGGTCCCATTCCCCCATTGACTTAGTTGTCTTTCCTCCCTTTGTTTTTTCTTCTCTCTTGCTGTAATTGCCCTATTTACTGGTGAAGGTTTTACCTGTGTCTAATCACCACCCTGTTGTATTAGACCAAGGAGAAGGAAATCCAGTCTGTAAAAGTTTGCAAAACCTGACACTTAATGAAGCACGCCTAATCCTCTTCGCTTGTATACCTCATTCTGGCATGTAGTATTACAAGGCTGCTAAGACCTCTCCTTGTTCTGTCAATACGCAAACTGTTCTAATGTCTAATATTTTGCCTGTGTCTAATCACCACCCTGTTGTATGAGACCCAGGAGAACGAAATCCAGTCTATAAAAGTTTTTCAAAATCTGACACTTATTGAATCCCGCCTAATCCTCATCGCTGGTACACATCATCCTGGCGTGTAGTGTTCCAAGGCTGCTGAGACTTCAGAGAATCAGTACACAATCTGATTCTCTAGCCCAGTCATCTATGTCAAATAAACAGTTTAGACCACCTATATAAAAACCTGTCTTTAATTTTGCTGAACTTTTTACATCCCATGGATCTACATCACCGCTCTACCAAAACTTTGATATTTGAAAACCGTGATAAATTTCGGCCTGTTCTATAGGAGCATGCAAGCCACACAATCACAAATTGTATATAAAACTTTAATTAAATAACTAAAATAAATCTAAATTGAAGAAAATGTTAATCATAAAATAAAACGCTATTTTTAAAACGCCTATAACATAGAATAAATAAGTAAAAACAATGTTAATAAAGCACAAAAGGTACAAAAATTTAAAAACTATAATTTCTCATCTATTAACAAAAACCTTCCTCAATGACTATACACCAAACAACTATATAACAAGACAACCACTTGCAAAGTGGTTTGACAATATGGGGAAAAGGAAACAAGTTTGAACAAGATGTTAAAAAAGGAAGGAAATAAGAAACAGGTCTGAAGGAATTTGCCCGGAACCCCAGGGATACATATACTCTGAATTAAAGAATATTTTATGAATATTAATTTATTTTTGATTCTCTAAATATTATTTTAAACTTTATTTATTTTTCGTTTTCAGAAGTAAAATTTCTATATACTATTCATTTACTTTTTGTATACAAAGTGATGATTTCATATTTTCAATTTGAATTTTTTTACTTCAAGTAAGATTTTTTTCATTATGAAAATAAAAAATAATTATATAATAATTTTTGTTCAAATTTTAAACTGAGTTTTTCAAAAAGAAAAAAAACTATAAATTATTCATATACTTTTTGAGTTTAAAAATAATGAGAATAATAATGTTTTCTATCTAATATTTTCAGTGTGGATGATCCATATTTTTAATAGGGAAATAAATCATTTTTATTAAAAAAATAGGCAGTACAATTATAAAATAATTTACTAAATAAAATTTGTGATATAAATTTACCTTTATCTTTCGATTTTCCCTTTTTAAACAGTTTTAAAAAGCTATTCATGTTTTCAATGTTACACAAGCAAGCATCAAAAATAGAATGAGTAATTTTTTATTTTTTCCAATCCATTTGTTGCATAGATAGACGGTGTAACGTTTTACCAACAATGCTTTAAAATATTGTGCATTGTTGAAAAATGAATCCCTTTTGTTTAAACAATAGTCCTCAACAATAAGTCTGCAATATTTTAGATTTTTAAAATATATAAATATTTACATTTCTTTACATCTTTCTCTCATTGTTGTGATTTAAAAAATGAATTATATTTAAAACAGGGGGGGGGGTTCTTCCACAGTGGGAACCATGTAAAAAAAATTCATCAAGAAAAAGTGTTTCTTTCAGTCTAAGTTGAACTAATTCTTTCTGGAAAAGAAATATCGAATATTAAAACAATTATTTAAATAGTTTATAATCAGAATTTTTTAGCTACTTAAAATACATTATTTTTAAATAAAAGAAAATTAAAAAACAACAATTCAAATTTTTAAAAAAAACTAATTTCCTTCAATATATTATTTAAAGTTTCAAGGGAAAGCCTAATTTTATAATTAAATCTAAAGAACTGCTAAAATATAATCAAATTTTATGAATACATTTAATTAACAAACCAAAACATATACACAATTATATATTATATATTGAATTCACAACACAAATCCCATACTAGTTTTTACAGTTAAATACTGTTAAATTTAAATGCTCAAACTTATTCATAAATAATATTATAGATAGATAGCAGTTAATATTTGTATACTGTGATGGCTTGAATACCACCCAGTTTCTGATTGTTAAGTACCAGCTTGTCTTTGAAGTAAAGGCAGCCTATGCATAATGCTAGCCATATTACATGCAGTTGGTCTCAAAATTAGGGTGCCTTGACCACTAAATTCCTTTTGGCTCACAGTAGAGCTGTTGCGGCAGTACTTTTTATTGATTTTCTGTATAACACTTAAATAATTTGAATGTATCTTTACCTTTCGGATACTATATTAATTTTAATTTGTTTAAATTTAAACCACTTTTGCTGTACTTATTGCTAGATTAATTGGTAATATGAATAGCAGAGTTTTATTTAAATCAGATTTTTTTTTATTCAAATACACTGAAAAAACTTTGATTTATAATTAAAAAAATTTTATAAATGTTTAATCAAAATTAAATTAATATTAAAACAATATTATAACAATATTTCAGAAGATCTAACTACCTAAAACAATTTTTCATTGTAATACTTAGCTTTGAATGGTTAGTAACCATTTTGAAATAAATGCATGATTGAAATTTAAAGACTAGATGACATAGAGAATTTAATGAATACTTTAACTATGAAAACAAAGTTTCAATTAGCAAACCATAATTTTAATTTAAAATTGTGATTTCTTTATTTTTTCTCTTGATTTTTAAAAAGACAAAATAAATGTAACAGATAGTGTTTATAAATGTAGTCATTCATCAAAAAATAAATAAATATTTAATCTAAAAAAATTTATGTACCTGTTGGATTTTTTTTCTCAAAATTGCTTTATAAGAAATCTGTAATGAGAAAGAAAGTCTGACAAAGATACTGTAAACATGCATTCTGAAACCAGTTAATATCCCTACTGCTTTAAATAGACTTTGAAAGAATTTGAAGAGGAAGAATGATACTATATTAGGGAAAAAATATCTGAATTTATCAGCATTTTTTTTCTTCCATTTTTGGCATATTAGGGTAATTTCTTTTTAATATAACCTCAAGCTTTAGAAATATACATTTTCCACCAATAAAATATAATGTAGAAAAAATTCATGTTTATTAATTACTTTCTGCAGCTATGCAAGTCTATATTAAGATAGCATTGAATGATTACTTTAATCTTTTTTTTTTCAATTTCAAGTATCAAAAGATTTTTAAAAATGTAATTTCAAATGTGCTGGAATTTATCAGACATCAAGAAAGAAAGTAATTTTGTTACTTAAAATTAATGCAGCACTTCATTTAAAACAAATTTTAAAACTAAGAAAAGAAAATAGCAAAAGTATCAATAATTTCAAACACTGTTTTTTTAACTTTTCAAATCAATACCATAAAAAAATCAATTGATTTAAATCAATGATTTTTTTAAAAAAATCATTTGATTTAAATCAAGCTGATTTAAATCAACAAACCCTGAGGTTATTTAATTTCTTCAATTTCATCCAGTTTCTTCCGGTATTTTCCAATGTCCAGATAGAAATTTAAATTAATTGTTGCTGTTAAAATTTCATACATTTATAATATTTTACAAATTATTTAGTTTTCCAAAAAGTGCTTATGTGAAAAGAAAATATAAATGCTGGATGTTCTGAATATCATCAGTATTTCAAAAAATCTATTAAAGCCAACATGATAAATTTAATGAAATTAGCATAACTTATTAAAAGTCAATTGAATTTCCAGCAAAAAATTTATCATATTTCGTTTAAACTTGCAGCAACATTTTCAATGACATGGTATTATTTTTGCAGAGAAGAAAAACCGAGCAAGACGAGTTGATGATGCGGCACTATTTGGAAGTTGGAGATCTTATTAATGTATCCTTTATGCTGTGTACAATTTCTTTAAATGTTCTTAATTTTTTTTTTACTTAAATTCTTTCAAATTTTTAGCAAAATTTCTGATTTTCTTGACTTTAAAAAGGGAAAATAATAGAAGAAAATGTTATGTTAAATGTCTAATACTACTATGCTGCTTTTTTTTTTACTTTATTGTTATTTAGTTCTTTTTTAATTATATTTTATTTATAAAGCTGAATAGTTTATTGGACTGTAAATATACAGATATAAACGAACTTTTAAAAGATGAATTTGTTATGTAATATTTTCTTTTACTATTCTTCTTTTCATTCTGCGCATTTTAATAGAAAGCGTTGTTTTATTTTGTTTTAGAGTTTCCATAGCATTTAGTTTGTTTGTGAAATTGCTGTTTGACCGGTTTAATGCGAATTTTTATTTTCTCAAGATTTTGTTGAAATTTCTTTTCTGATTTGGTTTTATGTATTTCATGTATTTTTTCTTGGACTTCTACAAAGCCTTCGGGGTACTCAGAGAGTTAATTTAACCTCTCTCTCAATAGAAAAGGTTTTGTTTTATGGCTTCCGAGGCCGGTACCCTTTGAAGACGTCGGCTTCGGTGGTCATATTTTTATTTCCATTGTTTTCTTTATTGCTTCAATTTTGAAAAAAGACGCATATAAAAGAAGTTTTTTGCTAATGTCAAATAATTTCAAAATTTTTTTTTTACTTATTTTTTCATGATTTGAGTTGATAGATATTTTCTGTCTTTTTGTTCTTTACCCACTCACATGCTTAAATAAAATTTAGTATTACATGTTTAAATCAATAAAAATAAAATGCTTTGAAAATATTTTAACTATTACTGATGTGCTAAATTTCTTTTAAGCTGTTCATTCCATTAAATCCCTATTTGTGTAGATATCATTCATAGAGGAGACTATTATTGTTTTTAATTTAAATTGTTATAAAATCTAGATCTCATTCTTTTTTATTTGTTTATTTTAAAAGTCACAGTTTTTCCTTGATTGACTGCTAGGCTGAAGTACAATCCATATTTGCTGATGGATCATTGTCACTCCATACCAGAAGTTTAAAATATGGAAAGGTAATTTCTTTAGTTATGTAATTGGTTTTTAACAAAATACTAAATAATTAATAATCTTTAAAGAAAGTGTGTTCCTAATTTTTGCATCAAAGAAAACAAAATAATAAATATTTTCTCTAAAGTGTTACATTAAAGTTTGCTCATTATTTTCTGGAATTGATATCCTTGATTATTTAAAAAAATCTTTGATTATTCTACAAATAATGTAAAATATGTGCACTAACTATTTTTTCTGGTCTTATAGAGGAAACATTCCATCAATATGTTATGTGAAAATTTGTTGGAGAAACGTTAAAAAAATGTGTTCTGATTAATAATGTGCCTTCTTCAGATTGCAATACAATGGTGGCCCTGACTTTCTATGCTGTCAATTAAGTTGTCCGACAGCTAAATCAGGAGCAAAGATCAGAGAAAGAGTAAAGCACTGTTCAATTGCATGTAAAAACCATTGTAGAGAACTTAAAGCATCTGCTGAGTTAGTCCCTAATATTTTCGATTGAATTGAGGTATCTGCAGATTGAGCTGGTCATTTCGTTTTCTTTAAACCATTAGCCTAAAGGTCTAATCAAACAGCTCAGCTCTCTGAGGCCCCACATTGTTATTCATCAGAATGAAATTACTGCCTAAAACTGCAGCCCAGTAGCAGAATTTACTGAGACACTCTGCAGTCCATAATAATCTTCATAAATCAAAATATTGTCTACAAATTCAAAAGCAATGATGTGGAGACTATTGTTATAAAATTAAGGCATACTCAAGCGTTTGCATTGAAAATTTTAAGTTTCAAATTTAAATCAGATTAAAATTATATGCATGTTGTTCCCTTTTAATTTGAAACTATACTTAACAAAGTAAAATTTAGTACATCCATTTATCTTTATCATTGAAGTAACTAAACAGAAAGAAAAAAAATATGCACGTTAAATTGAATAAAAACTTTTATTCAATAAATACTATCAGTGTAAATACACCATTCCAGATCCATTATTTTTAAACTATTATTGTCATTCTTGTTTCAATAACAGCTCTAGACTCGGACAGGAATAGTTCTTTAGATGCACGGGTTATGGCATCTTAAATATGCATATCATTACATGAAAGTATGTTGCAAAGTATTTTATAATATTTCTATTTTTGTGCAAACATTTTGATAAAAGCTCCTTTGAAGGGAAATTTCTGTATATTCATTGCTGATTTCTTTTGCAGACAAATTTCCCTTCAAAAATTTCTCTGCTATAAATTAAACACTTTTGAAAACAGTGTTTCAGTTTTTTTACTCTGAAATCTCAAATGGAAAATAATTTGCATATTTTCTCATAATCCGCAGTGCCTACTACCATGCTAGAGGGCCTTTGTTACCAGGACTGCTGTATATGGGTAGATATCTGTATCACAAATAACATGCAGGTATTTTACACCAGCCTCGGTCTTTCTATGGAACATGCAAAACTTGCAATTAAAGGGATGGCAAAAAAATCCTGAAAATATAAAGCTTGATGTATAGCAAACTAGCATAGTGGTGAAAAAAAAAAGTAAAGTAAAACAGAAAATTTATGAATGTGAAAAATCATTAATGCTAATTATTTTTGGTAAAAAATTGTGGAAATTGAAATTTATTTTATAAAGCATATGAAATGTTCTTAAAATGTTCCAGAACTTTGTTTAGATTTGTTCATATAAGCTACACAAAGATAACTAGTTTGGAATAATTTATGACTGCATAGATAAAACTAACTATTAATTCAATGGTTTTTGTAATACGTTATAAAGATATGAATCTACATTTACTAATAGTATAATTAATAAGCTGTTAATTTTGTATAGTTTATTGTTAATTTAACAATATTTTTTGTTTTACTTAAATGAAATTTCAACAAAATTTGGAAACAAGTGGAACTGATTTTAGAGCAGTAAAATTCATGAGTTTTGCCATTGTGTCTAACACCCTGTATATAATATTCTCTCTGCTTTTATAATGCTTGATTTTCTTTCCTAATCTAATTTTATTTCAGGTATCTCAAGGACAACTTGTGAAAGTTCCCGCTTCATTAATTCAAAGGAAAAAAACACATTTTCATAATATTGTCAGTGGAATACAAATAATTTTAAGTAACAATGGTTACATATGGATCTCCCCTGCATCTGCTGAAGATGTTGAAACTGGTGGATTTGCTGAAAATTTGGAGGTAAAGTACAATTGATTCTAAGTATAACTTTTACATAGTAACTTATATTTTTTGTGCTTGTTGCGATTGTGCAAAAACCTAACCTAAGGGTACCAGTTGTCTTAGGTTGAAATGACACCCTTAAATTATAATGTGCCCGCCACTCTCTTCTGGCAAAAAATTAATTTGAAAACAATGCTTAACTATCATAAATCAATTATTTGTTTTTTCACCACTTTCAATAAACTTTCTAAACCCTACAGTTATAAAACTGCAAATTGAAAATCCATGTCTTCTGACTAATGGATTTTTTTTCAAACAAAAATATGTCGAAACAATTGTTGTTTAATGATTTTTTTAAAATTTAAAATCATAACATAATTTATATAAAGTGAAAAATAATATAATTAATCTTTTCCTCAGAGATAGTTAAAAACCTGCTGTGATTTAATTTTATTAGGAAAGACAAAATGTGCAAAACCTAAAATGTTTTTCAATTCAAAAATATTATGCATATTAAAACTTTATCTTTCATTTTTAAGACATATTGATATTATTCTTATTGTATTAAGCACTGGGAATAATTAAAAAAATTGTTAATTAATATAAAAATTAAATTTATTATATCCCCTAAAACTAATTTCTCTTTTCTGTGGCTCTTTTCTGCATACGTCTGTACATCCCTTACTTTTCCAGCTTAACTTATATTAGTACCATTATGAATTTATTAACTACTATAATAATATTAATTTTAAGAAATATATTGTTTTATTTTCATTCTGTATTGTGTGTGTTTAGCATATTATGATTTTGTTCAACTCAAATTCTGTTTATGCCATTATTTTTAATAGTTTGTATCAATTTTGAATGTTAAAACAACCCTTTCCAGATCTGTGTCTCCTTTAAAAATGATATACACATTAATTTTAATACAGCTACCTTTTTTTTCCAATTTTTCACCAAAGTTATACAAAATACAGCATTTCAATATAATATTTTCTGGGCTATTGCTTGTAAATCTGTTTCAATTTAGTGTCTATCAAATATTAGCTACTGTAAAGAAGTATATTTATCTTCAAAAATTAAATTTGTAAGCAAAGTTTTGATCATTGCATCAGACTGTGCCAAAAATTCACTATAAAAGGGTAATTGAACGCACCAAAGTTATAAATACTAACTAGTAAAATGAATTGTATATTTAAAGTAACTCTTTTATTTAAGCTAGAAAAAATTATCTTTAAATATTAGAAAACTTAATTAAAATATGTTATTATTTTATGTAATGAACCAAACTTCATTTCCTTTTTTTTTTAATTATTTTGATCTGTCTATAAGTTTAAAAGTTTATTTCATTATTTCTGTCCTACAAGCATCTAAGTTTTTATTATTGTATCATTTTTTATTTTTATCTAACTATAGAGGAGATTATCTACCTACAGCGGTTTATTAATTATCCCCATCTCCTATAGTTATGTAATTTGATTTTCTTTCATAAAATCAAATATACAATCTAATAACATATTTCATTCACCTGACAAAAATGGTTCAATGCCTAATAATTTAAAAAGTTTACAATGATATTAATAAAAATTAAAAAATTTACCATTTTTGGGAAATTAACACTGATGTTAAGATTATTGATAACAATGCAACATTGTGTCATAAAGCAAAATATTGGTATATCATTTAATTATTTTTGTTTTCTTTTTTCAGCGTGTTTCTAAGGAAGACAGAGAGAATATTTCTAGAATAAGAAATTGTATTCTTGCATTGACTCAGCATAATAAACTGTTGTCTGATACCATCATACTCTATGCTTATGATGCCTCTTTAGTATATGAAGTGAGAAAATTTACAATTTCTATACTTACTATTATGTTGAGTCATAAATATTTTCCTTTATATCTCTATCTTTGTTTAGCTTATAAAGTAAGGAAGTTTACAACTTTTAGACTCATTATTAGGTTGTGCCATAAATAATTTCTTTTAGATATCTATCTTCGTTTTGTTTATGAAGTAAAAAAATGCATAACTTTTAAATTTTTGTCATTAGGTTGAGTGAATAATTTCGTGTAGATCACTTGAGTTTGAAAAGAACATTTTAAACTGTACGTTCCACAAACTAGAGTTTAAATAAACTATAAATATATTTCATAGTTATTAAAAATAAATTTTTTTTAAAAAACTTATTTTGAAAGTTTAACATATAAGTTAAAGTTTTCTATTCTATAAATTCTTTTATAAATCATTATTTTGCTTGCCTTGTGCTCAGAAGAAAGAGGGCACGTTAATTTTTTTTATTGTAATGATCTAATTCTCACAAACTGGGTTTGAAATCCTGATCTTAAATTTAATAATTAAATTGTCCACAAGATATTTAAATCGGACTCAAAAATATACTTTCTCCAAATAAATATCTGTTTTTAATTTTTTTGAGATTTATTTTATTTAATTATTATTTATGTATTAATTTTATCTGTTTGTTTATTATTTATTTATTTTTTTGTTGACAGACTTCTATTCTTGACCCTAGAAATGTAGGAGGTGGCATCAGTCTAGAAAATATAATCTCAGTACTTTAGGTCAAATGTTGTGACCGCTTAAGTTTTATTTTACTTTTTATGTTTAAATTTTTACTTCACAAAATCAATATACTCCTTTAAAAATCTTTAGAAACTGCTTTAAAATTTAGATTTTCACTTAAAATTATATAGATTAAAATGATGTTGTATAGCTTACTAATGAAAATATTTTGACCATTCTTAAATTAAACAATGCAGAATTACAAATAATTTCAAAGAATTAAATTTTCACATGGAATTATCTGTGTAAAAATCAATTCTTATTTTTTGAAAAAAAGTTTTTGATTCACTTTATTAGTCCTGGAGATATAGCTTAATAAAGGGATTCAAACTTTTAACTTGCTTAAATTATTGGGATTCCAGATTGTGGCTAGCCTTCTACTTTAAGGGTCAATACTCCATTATGTTAATTCTGAAGAAATATGTTTTCGTGTCTATTTTAACTTTAAATATCTTGTGCATAAATTAATTAGCATATTTAAGGTTAAGCCCCTGAACCATTAAGATTAAGTTCTAATAATCCAATCATTTGATCAATAGTTATTAAGGTGTTCTTCTTTGTTGTGCAACATACAGTTTATCTTTTATAAGAAATGCATGTATTGCCTAACCCAATTAAATTTGTATTTACTTCCTAGTGACTTTACATTATTTCATAAAGCATATTTTCAGAAATTAAATTTTTTAAAAGAAAGATTAACTATACTAGAACAGATTTGAAAGATTTACTCAAACTGCTTGAATAGCAAATTAATTTGGCGACAAAAATGATTCTATTGATCCAGGTCAATGAATGATAATCCAGATTTACTTCTGCCACATTGTGAATTATTAGATTTGTAGTTAAACTCATGCACTTCAAAACTTAGCACAGTGAAAAAATAAATAAAAATTAAATTTCTTTTTATTCTCTTTTTAATTAATTTTTACACTTAAATTTGATTTTACAATATTAGGTTAAACAAAACATGATTTTAGAAGATCTACTTTTTGAAAGGAAGACTACCTATACTTGATCTAATTTTAAAGATTTACTCAAATGTTCAAAAGAGATACTTATCTCGGCTTGAAAAGTGATGCTTTTGTCCATTTGTCATGGAATGATAATCAAGTTTTCCTCTGACATATTGTGATTCCTGGGATTGTATGTAAATGTGTGTAAACCTAAATATGAAAAAGTTTATTTAAAAGATTCAGAATGTCATCTATTACCAAAATGAATAACTCATAAAGGTAACAAATAACTCATAAAAAAACGGCTTAAATGTCAATCTAACAGGCTCGTAAAAATTTCTAGTCCCATAAAATTTTGTTAGAACATATTTTTTTAAGTATCAAAGAGTCTCTGTGGTTGCCATTGTTAGTCATTACAATGTAACATATTTTAGAACGACAATCAACCTCTATAACACAAAGTATGTTACTTCAGTTTTTTTATTTCAATTACCTTTGTCTTTAAATTATTTCGTTCTTTCGAAGCATGTTTCAAAAGCATAATAAAGTAAACACATGGTTTCTTTTAATTTTAAAACTTCTCCTTAACATGTGATCTGCACTGATTGTACATGTACATATCTATGAAGATAAATAATCACAAAACATGCGTTTAATTCCCTGATTAAATGGAGTTGCAAACGTTACCAATGTTATTTTTTAATACTTGAAAAAATTGTCCACANTTCTTTCGAAGCATGTTTCAAAAGCATAATAAAGTAAACACATGGTTTCTTTTAATTTTAAAACTTCTCCTTAACATGTGATCTGCACTGATTGTACATGTACATATCTATGAAGATAAATAATCACAAAACATGCGTTTAATTCCCTGATTAAATAGAGTTGCAAACATTACCAATGTTATTTTTTAATGCTTGCATTATGCTTTACAAGCATTATGCAGGTTATTACAAGCATTATGCTTTAATGCATAATGCTTGTCCTGTAAGAAAAATAAATTTCTTATACATGTGCTCTGAATGGAATGATTAACATCCTTTGACTGATTTTTAGAAGTAGACTAAATTGTATTTATGTGACTAAATTGTATTTGTTTTATCCCTCCTACTATTTAAAACTACGTAATAAGTAATTTAAAATTTAAAGTATAGAATAAAGGGAGGCAAACTTAGACTAATCCATGTAATTTGTTATATTAAAAAGATATTTTCAAAATATTGAAATGAGAACAAATTATTGGAGGATAACTTTTACACAGTGGCGAAGTTTTCTTCGAATGATTTGTTTGCATTTTGTTATTTTAAAATTTTATTTATAAAATTTAAAACTTCATGACTTACTTTAGATTTCCTGAACTTACTTTTCTATATTTTAAATTAGTAATGGAGGTCAAACAGAATTTGCGTTGTAAAATTTCTCCTGCGGTATAGATTTTTCGTAAGTTTCAGGTTTCTAGTGTGAATAGTTCTAGAGTTATTAAGAGAAAGACTTACAAATGAATTTTTCCTTTTGCTTTTGTGGATAAAAAGACAACAAATTTTAGGACTAAATAAGTATTATAATTAGAAATGTTTTATAACAAGTGTGTTAACTCTAATAGTTTTACTGCAATTTATTTTTAAACAGCTTGATAATTGTTTCTAAGTATAATTAATCAAATCGTTTGTTACGATATAATTTTTATTTTCTCTGTTTTCCTTAATTAATGTTATAGGTAAAGGAATTGCTAAAGCCTGAAATTATAAAAAAGGTTGTTACTGCTGTTGAAGAAAGAATAGAGCTGGAAAAGAAATAGTTGCAAAAAAAGTTTTTATATTTTTAATAAATTTGTTGCTTTTGTAAAAATATTGTATTTCTTGATGCCTCATTTTGTAAAATTCATTTAAATACCTTTTATTTCTAAATTATAACTGACCCATGAAAGAGTTTCCAAGATTTTGACATATATAATGTAAAATGATATGCCTGATATTAATCTTTTGACGCTGTGTATAGAGTGGCAGTTTCCATCATTCCTTTACAATATATATATATATATATATCCAAACAAAGCATCTTGGTCACCTGAAAAGAAAATTTATTTAGTTATTTATGTTTTTGAAAATTATAAGAATTAATAAAACAACTATATTTGAACAGGGGTCTGTCCAGGCCAAATTTACTACTGTTTAACGGTACCTTCACAAATTCAACTTTGTGAAAAACGGTAGTTTCACAAAATACTTTTTCTTAAAATTTTATTTTTGTATCCCGTAAGAAACAATTAATCTATATTTTCACCATAGTTTTGTGTTGATTTTTTAATATTATTTTTAATTTTCACAAATTATGTCTAAATTTTCCCGAAATAGGTACCTCTCAGAAAAACCTAGACAGACCCCTGTTGAAAGAAATGGTTAAAAATATGATATGGGTAATATTCAGTTGGTTTCTCAATTCAACTCCCAAATACCTATAAAGAGTATACTTTATTAGGTATCCCTTAAGCAATTATTTTATTTAGTCAAGTTTTATGTCATGTCTTTTCCAGAAATTCAAATTTGTATATTAGAAATCCTATTCTTATTTTTTTCCTTGATAACTTGTTACTTAACTTATAGACTATTCCGCATCTATGCTGGTTAGTTTATCATATTGAAAAGTGCTGGTTTTCCCAAAATTCGACTGACAAACTAGAACGGTTAACAAACATCCAGGCCATATGTACGTAATCTGTTAAATACAGTGTTCGTGCACACACAGGGCAAAAGTTTGTCACCCTTGTTTCAAAATGTATCATACTGAATTAAATTACTACGATTCTTTTCTGATAATTTACTTTTTTGAATTATCCTGAATTGCATTTCATTTACAATGTTTACAAAATCTAACAATATATTGTTTTGTAACATTTAAATAAGAAAATTTGAATGTCAACTAACCGACATGCAATGTACATGGTTCACGGCTTTGTGCACTGTTCAATGGGCATCACTTCAACTGAGCAGACTGTCGTTATGAAATTGTTAATATTTAAGTAAGCAAGGGTGCACTTGCACCCCCCTGTCTTTTTTTTTAAAAAAAAAACAATTAAAGAGATACAGAAAAACAATTTTATTATAAAATTTTTTAATTAAAAGTATTTTTATTCAAAAACAAATAATGAAATAATTATTGACGCATAACAATTAAAAAATTGTTTAATCAAACAAGAATTGTAATCGTCTTATTTGCTGTCCAAATCTGTTTATAACTTTTTCAATGAATTCTGAGTCATCTTTGACTCTTTTCTTATGCACATTGAGCATGCACAAACTTGGCAGATATCTAAGCTATATTTTTAAATTTCATTTATTAAAATATAAATAATATTATATTTTCTATTAGTTATTTAGTTTAACAAAGGTGTATAACACAAACTGACTTCTCACAACTGTTAAACTTCATCAACACAATAAATACCAATGTGAAGCTTGCACAAACACGTTAGTATACGAAACTACTGTTTGTAGTTATTTGTTTTTCAAAGGTAGTAGCTATGCCAGCGCCATCAATACAGTTTCTTGTGGCAAAATTTGCAAGTACAAGAAATTCGTACTTTTTTTTATATGTATTGTTAACAATGAAGAAATGTATGTTGAAAAAAACTGATGAAAGTATATGTAATAACAAAACAAAATGTCATAACAGAATATTGAAAAAAAAAATTTTTTTTTGGTGGGGGGGGGGTAGTTTGTTAAAGAGTTGCACCCCGTTATATATATTTTTCTGCCTACGCCCTTCTAAGTAAGTGAAAAAAATTATTGAAATCTAACACATCACAGCTGAGGAAAGAAATAGTGAAGCAAAACCTGTTTATAGCCAGACAAAATAGAAAAATATTCAGCTCTCAAGAGGTAGTTCATATTAAATTCAAAGAAAAAGTTTTAAAGAAAATTCATAATTCTGTTGAGTGACAGAAATTAATATAAATTATTGCAAAAGTTTTCTATGAATACCTTAATATATATTCTAATCAAAGGGATGAGATTTTACCGGTTCTTTTCGGATTTCCGCTTTTTTCGCTTCTGTCAATGGAATTTCAGCTTTTTTATCTATAACTCCAATTCTTTAAAGGTTTCGATTTTGTTTTTTTTAAATAAATATTCCGCTTTTTCTGGAAATTCAGTCGTTGAAATACAATAATTATTTCCGATTTTCAAAGATAAACTGAAAATTCAATCTACGTAGCCACCAATCCTTTCGCATTTTTACTGATTTTAGCTATTTTCTCCACTTATGCGCGCAGAAAATAAGATTTTCCGTATTTCTGCCCACCCGCCAAATAGCTCGTATTTTCGTAATTCAGATGTCGCTGCTTGTCTTCTGGGGCGGAAGCAAACGAAATAATACAAAAAAATAGCGCAGGCGATGAAAATATTTATTTGCCCATTTAATTAATCTTGTAAGTTTTTATTTATTATGACTAAACAGAAGCAATGTAAATAAGCCTTTTAGAAATACCAAGCCCAGAATCTGCTAATATCTTGATTCACGTAAATTTAATATCAAACATCGATTTTTGTATTTATCTGATTTAGAAGTTATTCATTGCGATTCTTATTCGCTCAATTTCACTATCGTACATTGCGATTTTTATTTACGAGATGTAAAAATCCAATATCGCGATTTGTATTTACGCGTTTTTAAAGTCGCAATTTTATTATCAAACATCGATGTTCGTATTTACCCGATTTACAATTTGCTCTTTATGCATCGTCATTCGTATTTACGAGATTTAAAAATTACTCATCATGATTTGTATTTTCGCATTTTTGAAATATATATACTATCTATTTATATATATATACTATCTATTTTTATATATATATATACACACACACATTCATTCTTGGATTTACTCTTTGACTACTCTCATCCCTGTAAATCAAGAGGACCAATTTTGGACAGTCACGATTAGGACTGGGCTATAAATCGATGTATCGAGACATATCGATTTAACGCCTGTACGGCAAGACGATACAGCGACTTTCATTCAAGGCGATGCATCAGAAATCTGATTTAAGCCGTCGAGTAAAGACAACGAGCGCAAAACGATATAGCGATATAAGACACGCAAGGATATAAGATAACGATATAGCGATATAAGACTCTTCTCTTACGTTCCGATGTCGACTTGCGCTGTGGAAGACGATGTTCGTTTCTTTATGTTGAAATGGCCTTGATTGGTGAGCTGTAGAATCAGAATCAGAGTTTTGAGAACACATANGCTGCATCTTGTCAACGATTTCTTAGGGCTTCGAAGGCATGAAGCTCGGATTCTGTCCACTTTCTCTTGAGACACACTCGGCCTACCCGGCGACTTTTGCTTCAAAACACTTCCTGTTTCCTTAAATGCACTGAACCATTGACGAATGGTTTTGTCAGAAGGCGGGTTAACACCATAGTTACGTCGAAAGTTTCTTTGTACGGTAACTAAAGACTTCGTTTCTATGAGCCAAATAACACATTGAGCCTTTTGTTGCGGAGTCGCCATCATTTCAAATTTCGCGACGTCATTTCAAGGTCAACGCCCTGCAGCGCCGCCAACAGTTGATACAAACATTCCCAATTGGTATGAGTAAAACTTTTTGAGCTACTCTTTTCAGAGAAATCGACTAAATTTTGCTATCTTTTATAGTTAGTGAGATATGAATTTTTAAAACCCCGGAGTTCTTTTATAGACACCCTGTATTATATTTTCTATTAGTTATTTAGTTTAACAAAGGTGTATAACATAAACTGACGTCTCACAACTGTAAAACTTCATCAACACAATAAATACCAATGCTAAGCTTGCACAAACATGTTAGTATACAAACTACTGTTTGTAGTTATTTGTGTTTCAAAGTCAGTAGCTATGCCAGCGCCATCAATACAGTTTCTCATGGCAAAATTTGCAAGTTACAAGAAATTCGTAATTTTTTTTTTTTTTAAGTATCTTGTTAACAATGATTAAATGTATCTTGAAGAAAAAATGAAAGCTGGAAGTATATATAATAACAAAACAAAATATAATAGCAGAATATTTAAAAAAAAAATTTTTTTTTGGGGGGAGGGGGGTAGTTTGTTAGAGGGTTGCGCCCCGTTTTATATTATACTGCCGGCGCTCTTGTAAGTGAGAAAAATTATTAAAATCTAACACATCACTGCTGAGGAAAGAAATAGTGAAGCAAAACCTGTTTATATAGCCAAACAAAACAGAAAAATATTCAGTTCTCAAGAGGTAGTTCATATTAAATTCAAAGAAAAAGTTTTAAAGTAAATTTATAATTCTGTTGAGTAACAGAAATTAATATAAATTATTGCAAAAGTTTTCTATGAATACCTTAATATATTCTAATCAAAGGGATGAGATTTTTCCACTTTTTAGTAGATTTTCGCTTCTGTCAGTCTGCCTTTTTATTTAAAACTCCGATTCTTTAAAAGTTTCGATTTTTTTTTAAAATAAATATTCCGCTTTTTCTGGAAATTCAGGGTCCCGCAGATCGTTAAGACACAGTTCCCAGCAGATCACCGAAGTCAAGCATCACTGGCTGCGGTCAGTGTGCTGGTGGATGACCACTTGGATTAGTCTGCGTAAGGACCGAGGGTGTGCGGTATTGGTCCTCGTTAAACTGTTCTACCGTAAAGTACTCGACTTCGCGTGCAGGTCGTCGGGCTACCGAAGAAGGGATGCCATCCCCTCTGCAGAGGATCAAAATTGTGATGGTATGTCTTCGGATCATCCTCAGGTATATTTCCTAGACCGTCGCCAATAGCCCACTGTGCAGCTCTAGTGTGATGTAAATAAAATACCTACCTGGAAATTCAGTCGTTGAAATAAAATAATTATTTCCGATTTTCAAATATAAACTGAAAATTCAATCTACGTAGCCAACAATCCTTTCGCAATTTTACTTATTTTAGCTATTTTCTCCATTTATGCGCGCAGAAAATAAGATTTTCCGTATTTCTGCCCACCCGCTAGATAGTTCGTATTTTCGTAATTCAGATGTCGCTGTTTCTTGCCTGCTGGGGTGAAAGCAAGCGAAATAATAAAAAAAAAATAGCGCAGGATTTGCAGTGAAAATATTTATTTGCCCATTCAATTAACAGGGTGCATACCGCTTTTAAAAGGTCTTAAAGGTGCTTTTATTATTGGGTGCTTAATTTTCCCTTTTCCAAAATGAGATTTTTCCTTTACTATGTTGATTTTCGGTTCGAATTATGCAAAAAGACACAGTTCACATTGTTCTATTCAACGTTTTCATAATTAATTCAACCCCAATCTATTTCGGTGTATTGTCAGTCCGTAGCGTATGAAAACGCCATTCGTTTTACATGATTCAAAATTTCATGATTTTTGACAATTGTCAAAAACAATGCCAAAAGGTATTTTTCCTTTTTTTGACATGACGGTTAAAACAAGATAAAGCCGTCGATTGTCAAAAACTTTCCAACCTTGCCTGATTATGATATTTTTTAAAGTGTTTGAAATATTTTTTGAGAGCTTGAAAAGTGCTTATTTTTTGTTGAATGATTTGGCTACGCACCTTGATTAATCTTGTTAATTTTTATTTATTGTGGCTAAACGGAAGCAATGCAAAGAAGCCTTTTAGAAATACCAAGCCCAGAATCTGCTAATATCAAACATCGATTTTCTTTTTTACCTGATTTAAAAGTTGCGCATTGCGATTTTTATTCGTGCGATTTCAATATCGTACATTGTGATTTTTATTTACGAGATTTAAAAATCCAATATCGCGATTTGTATTCACGCGTTTTCAAAGTCGCGATTTTATTATCAAACATCGATGTTCTTATTTACCTGAATTACAATTTGCTCGTTGCAATTCGTATTCACGTGATTTAAACATCGTACATTGCGATTCTTATTTGCGAGACTCAATTTAAAATTCAATGGCGTGATTTGTATCTACGCGTTTTTAAAGCCCTTTTTAGTGATTCGTATCCATGCGAATTTAAAATCCATTGTCGTGATTCGTTTATACGGTTGTAGTATAAAACATTATTTTTTTTTTGTCCAATGCCCACCTGGATATTGACCTAGGTCATACAGGCACCTGAAGGGCAGATTTGTTGGCCACTCCTTCAGGGCCACCATATTAGGAGGGCCAACGTTGCTCCCACANTATTATGAATTTCTAAACAAACATTTCAATAAATATTAAGTAAGATTTGTACATTGAAGTCAATTTATTTAATATCTTTCTTAAGCAAAACATAAAAATCTTCAAATTTATAAATTGATTTAAATCAATCTGAGTATGAAGTTTTGATAGAAATCTGACTTTCTGTGCCTTACAAGTAAATGAAATTCAAAAATACTGTATCGTGATACATCGCTATATCGCGATGCATAACTGACGATGCATCACGATACATAATTTCTAATATCGCCCAGTCCTAGTCACGATGTTAACCACGAGACAATCTAACACCTTGTGTTAGATTGTCTCGTGGATTAGATTGTCTCTAACAAAAAAGTGGTTAGATTGTCTCTAACAAAAAAGTTTTAAATAATAGTTTAACCGTAAATAAAAGTTTCACCGTAGTTTCTAAATGTTTACAAATAGTATAAATTTTAAATAAGTCTTACTATATTATACCCTTATAAATGGATGTTTTGCATAGCATAAAGATCAATAGAATCCAGAATTAGCTTTTAGGTTATTGTTCCCACCTTTTGAGAATTCCCCAGTTATAAAAAACTTCATGTTTCGCTGAGCAATCAAACTGGTTTTGATGTTAATCTCATCTCTTTCAAGTGATTAATTTTCACAAGGTTTTTTTTTCTGGTCATTTATATATTAGTTTTATAAATGGATTCTAAATTGTAGACTAATGAAGAAGTCTCCTGTATAGTGAGAAGCGTGTGACCAAATAAAGTGAGATGTTTTATAATCAATATTTTTATTTAATTTCTTTCTCATAAATATACAATAAAAGTAGAAAAATGACATAAAATAGCAGTGAAAATTTTATCCTACTGAGCAAGACAATCTAATATACTTAATTTTACATAAAAACCAATTTAATTTCGCACATAAAGTTATTAAAAAATTGCATAAATTGAAGAAACAAGCAATATTAAAAAAAAAAAAAAACATTTAAAAATTTGTCTAAATACATACTCTATAAAATCAAATTTCATTTTGTCTTCTTACTCTTTTGTAAAAAACTTGACATTTCTAACATAAAATTCAAAAAAACACCCACAATTACTATAAGTATGTGATTAAAATGATACAAAACTTTTTCGAACATTTATCTAAGCACGTAAAAATGCCTTTTGAAACTTTTTATCTTTATTTTCACTTAATTTGGAAACTAATGTAGAAAATTTTAACTTTCATTTATAAATTGTGATAAAAATATTTTAATTCCTATGTACATTGTAATATAAAAACTTTTAGTGTAAAATATTAAAAATGGGTTTTTGTAAAAATAAAATTAGGTAAATTCAAATTAATTCCTTCGATATTGGATTTTAAGTTAACTCTCACACAATGAAAAGAATTTTTTTTTTCAAAAACTTATTCACATTCATTAATAAAAGTATTCACTTAAAAATATACTCTTGTGTTACAAATTTTTCCTAACGTTAACTTTCTACACTAAACTTTTGCATTTTGTTTTTACACATTTTTTGCACTGTTAATGTAAAGCAATATAAAAAGATGCTTCTAAAATAACGAATAAATCAGGTAATTTAAACCCTTTTCTAATGAGTTATAACTTAACTTTCACATACTAAAGCTAAATTATTCGAAAATTTATGTGCAGAAATAAAAACAATTTTAAAATCGAAAAATTGCCAGTTTTTGTGCTAGTTTTTCTTGCGTCTTCGCACTTGATGCAACTGATATTGGACTTAAAGAAATATTTCTTGGATTTACAAGAGTGTGTTTCTTCTTAACTTCCTCGATTTCTGTCTTCTCTTTCAGATTCTCTGAAAAAAGCATGAATCTCAGTCAATTACAAAAAATATATTTCATAAACAATTTTCATAGGTTTAAAATTACAAAATACAAGGGTGGAAAAAAGAATCAAGAAATTTAAAAATTTTATCATAGAGTATTTTTTTTAAAGTTTTTTAAGTAAAAGAATATATAAATAGAAAATAACAGAGTCTGCAAGTTTTTTTTCCACCTTTATTTTATTTTTGTTGGCAACTTTTAGTTTTATATTTAAATCACTTATTTCTTCACATTCACATCTGAAATCTTGAAAATGGGTGCCTGTTTTTGAGTGCTTAAAACATTCCAACTGTTATTTCCTATTTATATATTTTTGAAGCTATTCCAATTTATATTGAAACTCTTTCTGTTCCTATTTAGAAAGCACTAAATTATTATTTCCTATTTTAATTATTTCCCATTTATATATTTTTGAAGCTATTCTATTTATTTTGAAGCTATTCCTATTTACATTTTTCCCTCATTGTAAAGTCTTATGAATAAAAATATATAAATAGAAAATAACAGTGTCTTAAATCACTTATTTCTTCCCATTCACGTCTGAAGTCTTGAAAATAGGCGCCTGTTTTTGAGCGCTTAAAACATGTCAACTGTTTTTTCCTTTTTATATATTTTTGAAGCAAATGAAGTTTTGAAACAGGTAGATCAGACCAATTCTTAAAAAAAGCGGTGCCGAAAAAATGAACTTGTTATGCAATTTTACCATATTTAAACTTTAATAGTTTTATTCTAAAAACAAAGTTTTTTTTTTAAACAAATAAAGTGGCTGCAGAGCCCATCTTAGTATTTTTTTAACTGTATTCCATTATGAATATACGTAATTCAACATTATTCTACATGTTTAATTTAAGCTTAAATTATGTGAAACAAAATCATCAACAACAAATAAATTTCTCTTTTGAGGTTATTTAAAAACGGCAGACATGATAACTCCATTTTCTTACCCAGTTTGTTATAAAATTTGACGCTTATAATGATCTTGATGTAGTTTCCGTTGTACAATTCGAACAAGTTAACCACCCTGAGTGAATTTTGTTCTAATGATCGGATCGAATTTTTTGCAATTAATCTGATTGTTGGATGAAGAACAATCTTAAAGGTTTGAGTCATGGTGACTCAGGAGATTCGAGATCGCAACTCTTAAGGCCTGATTTGAACCTGGGATTTGAACCTGGGTCACCTGATCGAGAAACAAGCGCTCTGTCCCCCGAGACACCGCAGCTCACGTTAATGAATTTTAGTTTTTAAAAATGTGTCCGTATTTAATAACAGGTGTTAAGATTTTCTTAAATTTATAAAATACGAGTAGTACACAGCCTTGCATCGATACATTTTTGAAAATTTGTCCCTTTAAAATCTGTGCAGATAACTGTGACAAAGGCATTAGGGAATTTCAACAGATTCAATTAAATGTTATTTTCCGTAGAAACAAAGAAAAAAAAATTTTTTTAAAAGAATGAAAAGCAAATTTCAGCTAATTTAATTAAATGTTATTTTCAATAGAATCAAAAATTGAATATGTTACAGCGAAATACAAAAATATATTACCTCTTTTTCCCTGGTGGACAATTGTTCAAATGGATTCTGAATTCATTATTTGTTGCATAACTCCTCCAACAACGAAAACACGCAAAAGGTTTCCTTCCAGTATGTTCCTGAAGGTGTTCTAAGAAGGCTGACTTTAAGCGGAACTTTCTTTCACATTTGAGGCACCAAAAAATAGAATGCATCATATTATGTGCGATGAAGTTACTCGCAGATTCAAATGTTATGTTGCACTTAGCACAAGTGTACGCAATTTCACCTATAGGTGCAGAACTTGACTCCTGTCTGGCCTTCTTTGGTCGTATCACGTAAGTTCCAGACACTTCAATTTGAACTACTTCTTGATCATCAGACGATGCACCAGCAGAAATGTCCGCATCGTAATTTTCCGTTGTTTTGATGGCTGGAAGCCGAGAATCTGGTGGACTTACAATAGACTTGTACTCTTCCAAATGACTTTTTGCTTCTTTATCGTCTTTCCTAATTTCACCCTCTTCCTTAACAGGTGTATAGGTAAAAATCACTTGGCTATTTGGTAAATTGATTATTTGGGGTGTGGAAGAACTTGCTATGGCAGCTATAGATTCCTGTAGACTCCTTTCAGATTCTTTATTTTCCTCTCTAGTGATGTCTTTTTGATCAGAAGGTATGTCTGTGGAAATAATATCAATGTAAGCGGTAGGAGGGCTTTTGGAATCTTCAGCAGATACGAATGCTTCGAAATTCCCCTCACAATTCTGACTTGTTTTATTACAGTCTCTTTTATTGGTGTCTTCTTGATCACAAGAACTTGCACTTTGTGAAATAGAAGAACTGGGAGGAGATATAGACTCGTGTTTATTTTCTTCAGATTCTTTGCCTTCTTTAATGACGTCCTCTTGATCTATACAACTTTCCTGCTGAGAAACTGAACTAGATGTTACAGATATAGATTTTTGTTTGTTTTCAGTAATTATATCATCTTGATTCGAAGATGCATTGGTGGAAACGATCTGTTGAGTGCAAGGTACAATTTCAGGACTTAGAGAATCTGTAGCAGATTTTGAGCTCTTTAGATTCCTTTCAGATACATCACTTGTTTTTTCATTATCTTCTCTAGTGATATCTTCTTGATCAACAGAACTTGCAAATTGGAGAACTGAAGGTTTAGGTGTAACAGATAAAGATTCCTGTACATTCTTTTCAGATTCCTTACTTATCTTTTTAGTGATGTCCTCCTGATCCGAAGATACACTTGAGGAAACAATTTGACTAACGTAAGATGAATGCTTGATTTGTTGACTCGAAGAGCCTGCAACAGATATAAGTGTCTCCGAATTGCTCTCAAACTCTTTATTTGTCGTTCGAATGTCTTTTATTTCTTGCTCACACGATACCTTTGCAGACAGAACTTCTTGTGCTTGTGTAGAAGGGATTTCTGAAAACACAGAACTTCCAATGGTTTCCTCAAGATTTCTTTGAAATTTTTCTTCTTCTAATTCTTTCTTTATGTTCTCTTCATCATGTTGCATATTTTTCGTTGCAACTTTACTATAATTAGACGATTGAACAATTTGAGGACTTGGAGGGCTTGCAATGGATCTAAACTCCTCTTCACACTTAGAGCTGACACTTGTGTACCTAGATGTTTGTTTTTTGTTATTTTCATCCGAGGGCATATTTGTACACCCTCTTTCTTGACTTGTAGGTGATTGAATGAACTGGTCGCTTTGAAGTCTTGTATTAAATCTGTGTTCAAGTTCTATGTTTGATTCATTAGCGTCATTTTTAATTGTGTCGTCTTTAATCGCCTTTTGCTCATAAGACGAATTTGTATCGATATTAAGTCTACTAGTATCTCCAACGTGTTTCGCATTAGGGGAAGGATGATTAGCCTGTTCCACCAAAGAGCTCTTGTCAGATTTTTGATTATCTGTAGCCTTCTTTGATCTCTTTCTTCTTCTCTTCGGCATGCTCTTGGTATTATCTTGATCTTCAGTTGAATTGGTCAACTGAGCATCATTTCGTGAATCGCGATATATCTTTATGATATCTGTCTCATGTTCTTGAAGATGATAATCATAATCAGTTAGGGTTGCCAGGAACTCGTGGCATACAGTGCAAGTAAACTGTCTAGTGTAAATCAACTGGAAATGATCTGTCAAAGCATTCCAATCTTCAAACTGTTTTAAACAATAAGGACATACTTGGAACTGATTTGAAACAGCGTCCGGAGACTCGAAATTTGACGGATAGCAAACTCTTAGCAATTCGTGAATTGAATAATGGTCAACCATGTCATCCAAATGCTCACACGCATAAAAACAATGCCTGCACGTAAAAGCTGTCTCTTCCACATAGTTACTTGCATAGGGGTCGGAATAAGCTCCCTCTACTTCTATTCCCCTTCTGTCACCACATTCTGCTGATTCGCATCCATCATTCTCTTTTACAGGATCTGGAATTCGTGATGTTCCTGGACCGAAACTTTTATCTGCAGATGAAACACCGGAAGTTAGTTCAACAGATTCTGTTATTTGGGAAAATCCCTGATGGCTCGTAGAAGTTTGATTATTGGTACTTGGAATTTGTGTTAATCCTGAATCTCTAACCCCAGCCTCAGATATGGTACTTTGTTCAATAGGATATGGAATTTGTGATGATCCTGGATAGCAATCTCTATCCACAGAAATTGGTGTGGCATTTTGTTCAATGGGAATTGGAATTTGTGATGATTCTGAATTGCAACCGCTATCCGCAGTCTCTGGTGAGGTATTTTTTTCAATAGGAATTGGAGTTTGTGATGATCCCGAACAGCAGCCTCTATCCACAGCACCAGATATGACATTTTGTTTAGAAGGTTCTGATATGTGTGATCCCGGACCGCAATTCCCTTTGGCAAATGCATCAATATGGAGTTTTATTCCTTCAAAACTGCTGAATTTTTCACCACATTTTTTACATTTAAAAACCCTTCCCTTTACAAATTCATGCTTGCTCGCATCAGCAGCTAATTCTCTCGCAGCATCTCTAGCAGAAAATGTCTTCTTCATATGTTTATTTTTTATGTGCTGTCTCAAAGATTGATTTTGCACCGGTTCTATACAGATGGGACAGTTATAATGGCTCGACTCAGAAGATGAAGCATAATCATCCGTAACCTCCGATATCTGTATAGTTGATATTATAAATTGAGTCTTATAAAAATTTAGCATGTTGTATAGGAATTCGGAAGTGACAGTATTATCGGAATGTGTAACAGAATAATTCCCTCCGGAATCAAGAATATCATCGGGCCGCGTTACCTCGCAATCAGGGCGAGGCATATTTACGAAAAAGCATGTCACTGCATGATGATAACACAGGTCAAGATCTGTGCATGATAGTAAACACCCACATTCAGGACATTTATAAAACTGCTGAAGCTGACCGTTATCAGAATCTAGTTTTTGTGATGCTGACGAAATCGGGATTGAATATTTTTCACCAAGATTTTCTCCTGGCTGGGACTCAAGGGAAGACTTTTTGCCAAGACTATCCTGCAAGGGACGTTCACCCTCTAAATCCAGGTTTACATCGCAACTCACTGGTGTATCTTTAAAATACCATTTGCAGGATGCGCTGTGGTCATCCAAATCTTCTTGAGTCAAGAATAGTTGAAAACATCTGTTGCAGGTGTAAAGATGGTTGTCTTCAGATTCTGCAATTTCCGATTTCAATGAAACAGGATCCAATTGGTCCTGTTCAGGCATTTTCAACATTTTGTTCGGTGACACTGAGGGATTGCCATCCCTTGAACACACTGAAATCGAATCTTTAACTTCCAATTTTCTTTTAGAAGTCGAAGACGACGAAGTGCTGCTTGAATCACTTGGAATAAATTTTCCCGTTAAATCATAAGTAGAAATTCCTTTTAGCCACTTTTGGATGCGATACAGTTTCACTATATCCAATTCTTTTTCCTTTTCTGGAATTTTGTTATCAGTTTTATCAAACTTTTGAGCTTTAATAGTTTTTACAGACTCTTTATTTATTTCATAACATTCTACGTTTGCAGGTTCTTGTGTTAAGCCAACATTGGGTAATGTAACATCTGTTCTCTTTGAATTTAATTCCTGATGATGGGAGCTTAAATCTAACACTATGCCAGAATTAATAGACTCTTTATTCGTTTTACCACAGTCAACATCTTCTGATTTTTGTATTAATCTAACATTGGACGAAGCACTGTCTGTTAATTTGAACTCGTTAATTACGTCATCACATCCAACACTTCCTGATTTTTGCAACAATCCATCATTGGAGTCAGCACTGTCTTTTAATTTAGACTCGTTAATTAAGTCATCACATTCAACATTTTCTGAGTTTTCTATTAATTCAACTTCGGGTTGTTCAACTTTAGTTTCCGTTGAATCGGTTTCTTGAAGTTGAGTCTTTAATTCAAAACGTTCACTGACCTGCAATTCCGGTGATATTTCTGTTTTAACATCCAATTTCATTGATGTAGATTTTACCACTTTATTTGGGGATTCTGAAGGATGAAGATCATTCGAATATTCCAAACTTGAAACTTCAGAATAAAGTTTTCTTTTTACAGTAGAAGTCACCGACCTAGAAATTTTATCCGATTGAATCCCGCTTTCAAAATCTGAATCTGGAACTAATACTTCTATTGAATCTTCTGTCGTATTATCTTTGATATCTAATATAAATTTAGTTGTAGTTTCCGAAGCAATTTTAGCTTCTCCAGTATCAGCTTGAATGACTTTTTCAGAAACGGATTCGAGAGCAGAAAGTTTTTCAGAGTGACCATCAATGCCGCATTTATCGTCTAAAACTGGTTTTCTTTCGTTTTCTGAAGTTTTTTCAATGTTACCGATATTAGTTTCATCGGACTTCCGGAGTATGTCTGGTATTCCAGATTCTTCAATTTTATCTTTCTGACGATCTTCTTGGCCAACACTAAAATCTGAACTTTCCTTGGTATCGTCTCCTTTGCTTTCATCAGTTTCATTCGGAGCACTCATGCTTAAGCAAAGAGAAATTTTAAAAAAAATTATACTAAATAGCCTAGAACACCATATATAAAAAGTTCAAACTAAAAGATAAATGAAAATGATGTTTCTAAATCTAATACGCTCATATCTAATAATGACATTCCGTAATAGATTTGTAGGGTTAGTTGCCATCTGCACATTCCAATGTATTAAAAATTTTCGAAGTTGGATTAGCCTCCGTTTTCGAGAAGTATCATTCTTACGCCAAAAGTTCTGAAGAATAGAGGTAGTGAGTTCGATTCCCGATGTATGTATTTACGTGCTATCCTTCAATAATTTGTGTAAATTGAATCTTTTCTGAGTGATTTCTTTCTGTAAATGATTCTATCTTTAAGATTGGAAAGCCGTTATTTAATGCTACTCAAAAGTTAGCAAATTTATGCATGTGATGTTGTATCTGTTGTCGTAGTTTATTTACGTCGCACTAGAGCTGCACAATGGGCTATTTTATTTTATTTTATGAACAGCTGACCCAATATTGGGTTTATGACAACTAATGTTTAACTCCGTAGTCTTGTAATTTTGAACCAATCCCGAAGACAAGGGAACTCCTGGATCAGTACCCCCAGAGGTATTGATTTGTTATGGGAACATGGAGGATTTTGAGACTCGACAGATTTAACGTTCATCAGTCACCATTTACTACACAGGGAGTCTTCGGCCGGCGAGGATCGAACCCACAACCTCTTGGACATGGCCCAGCGCCCTACCGACCAGTCTATCCCAGCCCTTTGCGCAATGGTCTATTGGCGACTGTCTGGGAATCATACCTGAGGATGATCCGAAGACATGACATCACACTTTTGATGCTCTTCTCAAGAACAAGTTAGATAAGGAAATCCCAAAGGTAACGGCCGGATTCGAACCAGCTCTTTCCACGCTACAAAGTGGCGGTAAGACCATACTAGGTTCACCCTTGGCGAGAATCTAGTAGTACTTGAGCCGTGATGGCTCAAGCGATAGAGCGTTCGACTCCAATTCAGGTGAACCGGGTTCGAATCCCAGAGATGGCTGGTCGATACGAATTCCGCATCCGGCTTCCATCAACCTCCATCGATCCGGCTTCCATCCATTAACTATCCTCAGTGACAGTCGGATCATGGGTTAGAGTCCCCTTGCCAGCTATTTTCGTTGTTGGAGAAGTTATGCAACAAGTAATGAATTCAGAATCCATTTGAACAATTGTCAGCCATAGAAAAAGAGGTAATATATTTTTGTATTTCGCTGTAACATATTCAATTTTTGATTCTATAAAAAATAACATTTTATTGAATCTGCTGAAATTCCACAATGCCCTTGTTACAGTTTTCTAAACAGTTTTTAATGGGACCCATTTTCAAAAATGTATTGATACAAGGCTGATTACTGCTCATATTTTATATATTTTGGAAAATCTTAATACCTGTTACCATACGAACACATTATTAAAATCAAAAATTTATTATCGTGAGTTGCGGCGTCTCAGGGGATAGAGCGCTTGCTTCTCGATCAGGTGTAACAATGTTGACTGGTCGATACGAATTCTGATCCCGGCTGAGTGTTGAATTAAACTATCCTAAGAGGTAGATTGACCATGGGTTACTATCTTCTTGCTGTCGGGCTAAAGGTAGGAAGTTTTCTTCTCAATGTAAACCAAATGCAGGTAAGTTTTACCAAAAAGTCCTCCGCGAAGGCAAATTTCTAACAATACTTGAACCAGGAGTTCCCTTGTCTTCTGGATTGTTTTCAAAATTACAAGGCTACAGAGTTCAATATTAGCAGTCGTAAAACCAAAAAATTGGTTTGGCTGTTCAGTGACAGTTTTGAAGAAAAAAAATAGTAGAAGTACTTTATTTACTACACACTAGAACTGCACGATTGGGCTATTGTACATTATAAGGCCTGAAAAATCATCCCTGAAGATGATTCGAAGTTATACCATCCCAATCTTGATACTTTACGGGGGGAACATCTCATCCACTTTAAAAGCACGATGATTTGAGAGTGAAGTCGAGTGCTTTATGGTAGAACAATTTATTGAGGACTGATTCCGGGCACTCTCGTTGCCTTAGCAAAGTGGTCACTCACCCATTCACTGTCCGCAGACAGTTATGCTTTTCTACTGGAAGCCGTGTTTTTACAATCACTTAACTGTGTGAGCCGCGATGGCTCAGGGGATAAAGCGTTCGCCTTCCAATGAACCGGGTTCGACTCCCAGTTAATATGAATCCCGCATCCAGCTTGCACCGACCATAGTGCTGACGTGAAATATCCTCAGTGGTAGACGGATCGTGGGATAGAGTCCCCTTGCCGTTAGGCGTGGGAGGTTCTCGTGGTCTTCCTCTACATGCAACGCAAATGCGGGTTAGTTCCATCAAAAAGTCCACCACGAGGGCAAATTTCGCCTAATACTCGATCTAGGAGTTCCCTTGTCTTCTGGATTGGGTTAAAAATTACAAGGCTACGGAGCTGAACATTAGTAGCGGTAAACTCATAAAATTGGGTTGGCTGTTCAACGACGGCTATAAAATATAATAAAATCACTCAACTGTGAGACGGCGGGAATCTAGAAAAATTTGGATGGGAAAAATGTGAGTAGCAGTAGTACATTATTCACATCACACTGGAGTTGCACAATCGGATAATAGCGACTATCTCAGAAAGATCCGTAGACATGCCATCACAATTGTGATTCTCTGCAAAGGGAAGGGCTCTTCCACTTTGGAAGGCTGTAACGGTGAAAGAGCTTAACAAAAACGGATACCACATAATCTCAGTCCCTTCGCATGATCAAGGTGATCACCCACCAATTTAATGACCACCGTCTGTTATGCATGACTTCGCTTATTTACTGTCCAGCAGTGGATTAATCGTTTAGTCACGGTTCAAAGCAAATCACCAAAGTCAAGCATCTTTGGCTGCGGTCAGTGTGCGGGTGGGTGACCACTTGGATCAGTCTGCGTAGGGACGTAGGGTGTGTGGTATTGATCCGCTTTAAACTGCTCTACCATTAAGGTAGAACAGTTTAAAGCGGAGTCAAGCACTTTAAGTGCTTTACTTCGCGTACAGGTCGTCGAGCTACCAAAGCGGGGGTGCCATCCCCTCTGCAGAGGATCAAATTTGTGATAGCATGTCTTCGGATCATCCCTCAGTGATGTTTCCTAGACCGTCACAAATAGCTCATTGTACTCTATTGTGACGTAAGTGAGCTACTACAACAACAACAACAACAATGTTTATTTATTACGAACCATGCCTTACTATCAGTCCGCTGTGAGAAGATAAATGTTTAAAGGGTTAACTTGTATTTCTAAAAATCGATGCGTCAGAACCACAGAAAGGGTGTTTTTGTAGTTGGTTGTCTCAAGCAAAAAAAAGTAAGCTCACGGAAATTGGTATACTGTAGTTAATTTGTTTTGGTTATGTGTTTGCTATTAAGTTATGCATCTACGTTTTGCGTATAGGATAAATAATATAATGGAGCCGATTGATCTTTGTGTTCGCCCTAATTTATGCATTGTTTGCAAACACCGATTTTGGACTCTAAAGGAGCTACACGATCATTTAACAATCGACCATGAAGTGATTGAAGCTAATATTCCATATCCAACCAACCTAATACAACAGCAACATCGCAGTGTTGATCGATCTATCAATTCCGCTCATGACCATGATCTTACTTCTACAAATTTAAAAAGAGGACATTCAGAAGCTAATCAACTGTACCCTGAAAGTAAAAAACTGAAAAAAGCCTAAGCGTAACCAGCTTGGCAGCTAAACTTGACCAAAACCTTCTATTGGTTAAAAACTAGAATCAAGTGAGGGGATCATGTTGGAGAACTGCTAAGTAGTAATCTCACATTTCAAACTCCAAAGGTTGGAGTTATTTTATAATTGTACTGAAATTTCAAACGACAAATGAAGAAAATATGAAATGTTCTTTTTTAAAACAGATTTTATTGAGAATTAATGGATTTGATTTGATATATCAAATCCATGTTTGCAAAAGTGATTGTGGTAGACATTGCGAAGACAAATTGTCCTTATAATCATGTAAAATGCTTTTTACTAAACCATGATAATAATTCGCAATGTACAGTTACTTAGATTATAAATTTAAGAAAACTTCTGTTCTAAACTTATATTGTTTAGATTGTTTTAACTTATTCATTTTTAGCCATACTTTTAATGTCATCAGTTACAATTTCGAATGTAAAAATTAAATCTATATATTCTATAAAATATTTCTGAAAACTTATTTTATTAAGCTTGTGTACATAGTAACTAATTTATTTACTTATTTTTTAAACTGTTTGAATCACAAGCTGTATGGTTTTAATATGTATGTAAATTTTGAAACCAATATCTAATGCTGAATATTACGTTAATATTGCGCATTTCTCAAGTTTCAATGTATTTATAAAATACTGAAAAAAATTCATGTTCTGGTTTTAAAGTAATTAAATAGATTTAACCAGTTAACGTAGAATTTTTGCTAAACATATTTTTAATACTTTTTTTATTTTTTTTGTAGTAATTTAGGTCAAAATAAGTCAAAAATATTATATTTATTGTTTCAGTAATTTATGATAATGAAATACATGAAACACTGATGAAACAGTATTTTTTTTGCGTTACAGGCAAACTTTTTCAAACAAGGTTCACTTCAAAACAATTTTTCAAATTTACACTTATTTTTATTTATTTAAATCTAAGAGAAACAGTTATTCATCATTGAAATTTCTTTAATTTGAAAAATCAATTTTTAATAAAATTGTAAATAGGAATTTAAAAAAAAGGCAAATCCTGCTTGAATTCCATTTGAATTTTAAAATTTAAAGTTTAGAGAAATGTATATTCAGATAGATCATGAGGTTTCAATGGTTGAAAAAAATGAAAAGAACACAACTTCTGGAAGGACACGAAATGGTGGGGTAAACCCAACTTATGACTGGGAAAATCTCAAGAATTTAGCTGCTTTATATTGGCATATAAGACCTAAATTTTATTTTTCTTCTGTCTTTATAAAATATCATAAAAACAGCCAATAATTTGAGTAATGGTTAATGAAATATATGCTGAAAGTGTTAGTACTATTACTTTTATCTGAATTCACTAGGTTTGCAAGTAATTT